AGGAATCCAAATATGTAAAAAAAAATACATGTTTATTCAGAGAAAGTACGTTTTTGTGTCAGATTTCGTAACTTAATTAATAGTTAGCACTAATTAATTAGCATATTTGAGGTCACCCCCGGGAACCATTAAGATTGACACTTAGATCGTGAAAATCCGATCATTATAACAAAAGTTATTCAGGGTGATATCTTTTTTTTTGCGGACTGTACATCCAGGTGTTTAAGTCTACCAGTGAAAAAAAAATATATATAAAAATTTATGGAAAAAACTTAAAAAGTAATTAACAATATTTTACATTGTTCTCTTTGGATATAATGCATTTACCCTCAACTAAAGAGGCTTTAACGCACACTTCATTTGTGAAATTAATTGTACATAACTTATTAAAAATATTTCAGAAACACAAAAATTGACTCAGAGTTATTCATATCTATCTCATTGTTTATAATGCATTGGAATGTTTGACTTTATTACCAGTGTATAAGTCAGCTACCTGATTTTCGAAAATTTTACTTGCACACCAGGTGGTTTTCCTATAGTCCTACCTGCAAGTAATGCTAAGCAGTTTGATATAGAAATTTCACCTTTCAAAAAAGGGTGACTTATCACTACATATTGCTTTAAACTTCCAAAAAAAAAAAAAATGCATTTTGCCCTTTTTCTATCTCTTTCTTTGTGCACTATTCTATTATTGAGTAAAAGCGACATACAAACTAAGTTGTACCTGATGCATTTAACTTTATTTCCAAATTTCTTTCTTTACTAACATGGTTCATCTTAAGGAGTAAGGATTTTCTGTTAATTTATATCAAATATTCAGAAAGTTTTCCTGTTAGTTGTATTTCACAAAAATATCTATTCATTGACTATGGATTTATTGTTCTATTTCAGTATAAACATGAAGCAGTGCCATTGATGGGACGATCTGCTATATTAGGAGATCAGCGAAACAATTATTTTTGTGATGTTGCCTGTGGAAAGGGAGATATGACTGAAAGTACTTATGCCATTACCAAATCAGGTCTACTTTGTGAGTTTAACAGCAGACGTCTCCTGGATAAATGGGTTGAATTGAGGGTAAACAAATTTATTAATTCTGTGTTTAGTTTTACTTTGCTTATCAATCATATCCTAATATGCATTTTTTAACTAAGTTACTCTATGTGTATAGGGAATTCATGATTTTGTTTTATTTCTTTAATAAATACTGCTTAATAATATTACACTTGAGTCACAATTAGGAAAAACTTGGTTTTGAACATTAGCTTGAAGTTCAGGGATCGGTTGTGACCCTGTGGCAGAATCGCAGCAACATTAACGCTGAACCCTAGAGAGTTCTTGCAGAAAGATTTTTCTTTTGAAAATTAAAGAAAAAAAGTACAATTTCTTTTCTACAGAAATTTAGACGTAATATTTGAAACGTGCATTTAAATAAACACATTTTATCACATTCAATGTACGCTGATAGTATCATAAATCAATATGTTTTGATTGTATTTTCGGCAGTCATTGATATTGATTTTCATGTGGATTTTAAATATCCGAATATATTTCAAACAATATGGAAAATTCAAATTGTGCATTTTAGTATTTATTTTTTAAAGCAATGATTCTATCTAAGTTTTTGGCTGTTATTGATTTTTCCACAGTTTTTAAATCCGATATTTTCTATACGATATTATTTATTGCAATAACCTAATCTCGAAATGAAACACGCATTTGAGAAGTCCATTTCGCGAGATTTTGTCGACAATCTTATTTTCAGCTATTACTACTACGGATTTTATAATTTCTAATTATTTCTTTTATTTTGATGATTATTTACAAAATATGAAAAGAAAATAATTATGGCATCCTCCCCAGACAAAATCTGAGAATATCACCCATAATATTAGAATAAATAATTATTACATGTTCAATTTAAAAAATTATGTACTTTTTTTGTAAACACAGCACTTATGCAATTTTAAATTAGTAGCATGTTTGTTATAATTAAAAGCATCTTGAAGAAATTTATTAGTGCTCGAGAGTTTTGTCACAGAAAGCTCGAAAAAATACTGCCACAGGGTTGTGACTTAAATCAGTTGTTGATTGTGACTAATCAGTGTCTAGCTTTTTTTAATTTATTAAATGATAATAATTGCTACTTACGCAATGAATTATCTTTGTTAAGTGAGTATTTAACTTAAGTCTTTTTTCTTTTTTTTAATGTTGGTTAAATTATTTTCATTAAGTTCATAGCTAAGTCAATGTTTCTTTTCTTTTTACAGACTACTAGTGCAAATAGTATATCAGTGGGAGATAATTTAATTGTCATTGGTTGTGCTGAAGGTGTAATTAGATGTTTTAATCCTTTTAATTTAAACTTTATATCAACATTACCTAGACCTCATGCACTAGGAGTAGATGTAGCTAAAGGTCTAGTGGCAGGGTGAGTTGCTTGTTTTTGCCATTCTCTTAAATTTGTTACGTATAGATTTTATTATTTTTTTCTTCTAATTTCTTTATATCTATGAAATATTCTAAAAAAAAATGACTTATTTGATAATTTTATTACTTTATTCTTTCTTTCAATGAAACAAATCTTTTTCTTAAAAATTTTTTTATTTTGCTGTTAGGTCGCCAAACATTTGGTATTTGGCCAAATCACTATTTGTTACATCCTTAATTGCTACAGCAATCCTCCGCAACAACAAAATTGTTCAAAATATCTTCTGATTCAACTCTGTTTTGAATTTCACCAACATATTCATTTGTACAACAAAAAAAATTGTAAAATCTTAATATTCAATAACTTCCTTGCCAATTTTATACTACTCCTTTTTCATTCATTAAATTTTTAAAAAAGAATAAAAATCACAATTCTGTTTTTGCTGATTTTCAGATTTTTTTTCCATGCTGTATGTAAAACAATAATAATAATAATAAATTATAAAAAGAAAACTACTTTTTTATCGTCAGTATAAAGAAGGAAAAAAATATTTGGATGTACTTAATAATGCTCTTCAAGCACATAAGATTTTGACTGAAGTGTGAAGTTTTTAAATTATGTGATAAAAAGTAGTGAATTATATGGCATTATTCTTAACTTATGGAGACCTATTTTCATGTTGCTACCTTTTTTTGAATGCTATGTACTTTTCTAATTGGATGAAACAAATTATACATTATTTGAAATCACATTTCATAATGCTTTTTATGAATGGTTATTCATAATTCTCTCCGAGATGAATGCAGCAAATAAAAGAACGTTGAATTAAATATAGAGACAATTTGAGGTTTTATTTACAGCTTCTGTGTGTTCTATGTCTGAACTCTTAGTTAACACACACCAATGTGATAGTTCCGTTTCTGCCAAATTCTATTTAATATGGTATTATCAATTTTGAATTATTTGATACATCTCATTCTGATTTAACACCCAAAAAGCTTTATGTTCATCCAGTTGCAGCTGTCAGTTTGGCATGTACTGTCTTCTATGAAATTGCTGTTAATAAAAAGCTGGAACTGTTTTCTGTATTTAATGCAAGGTATATTTTTGCTGTATTCATCTTAATACTTTTACTATAACTTTCTGAACTGAAATTAATGGATTTATGAACTGCCCTGCATAATATACCTATAAATTCTTTAAGATTATTCTAAACTTTAAATTAATTTGGACCTTGAATATAAATGGATACTATTTAAAATGTTTTGTTTTTTTATTATTATAAATATAAGGATTTTTAAATATTCAAAACATTATTTTTAGCTTGATTATATTTTTACAATGTGTGCTGCAACTACTAGATCTGTACTGGATGAATTTGTTGTGGGTAATAAATTATTCAAGTAAATTATTGATGCAGCTAACAACTTAATTTGTTTGTTTTATTTAACTAATTAACTGGTGTAAAATATTCAGATCGCTGGCTTAATCCTTAATTTTTAATCTTAAAGCTTTGGCGAACAGAGATTTATATTTCATTTTTATTATTATTATTTATGTTTCTTGTGCTTCTTTTCACATTTGTTAATTAATATTTTTCTTCAATCTACTATTCATGAGTAAAATAAAGTGTTTCTTTTATAATAATATGTAACAAAGCATTCCACATATTTATTAATATATAAATGTCTTTTTTAATTTCATCAAATCATTTTCAGATTCAATTTTTTGAATCATTTACATTTTCTCTTAATTCATTGTTCATAATTAAGGCTTGTTACTAAACATAGACAAATTCCTTATATCTGTTTATTTTATTTTAAGCAACACTATTTTAGTTTTAGAAACACTAAATGAGAAAAATAATGGATTCACATTCTTATGTTAATTTTATTTATTCTTTTTTTTAATTTTCTTTTTATAATGTTTAAAATTTTGTCATTTTACAGTAAATCAACATCCTCGCATCAACCTAGTGCCAAGTATCCAGATACCATTGCCATAGCTTTAGATGAAATTAATAACAAAGTAACCATTATTTTTTCATTATTGTTAGATTTCTTTCTTATGTACTATATATATGAATGTGAAAATGTGTTAACTTAATAATTTATGTGCATTATTGTATATGTTTAGGTCACTTGTGTATATAATGATCACAGTTTATACGTGTGGGACATCAAAGATACCAAAAAAGTAGGAAAATCTCATTCTTTCATGTATCATAGTGCCTGCATTTGGGGTGTTGAAGTAAGTGTGACTTTGATTTGTAAATGAGTGTTTTTTTTATGTAATTTTATCTTAATCGAGTGAAACCTTACCTTACAATCACTCATTAGGGGTGGACATTTCACATTGCCCACAATTTACAAAATTTAAAATTTTCCTTTGGGAATAAACCATTATATCCCTTTTCCTTTTTTTTTTATTTTTTTTTTTACATTAACTAGACAGAAACAGTAAATTGTATTTAGAGAAGCTCTTTTAAATCACTTAAAGTACAGCAGTCTACATTTTAAAAAAAATTTTATTATTTTTCAATATAAATGAAACATTTATGTACGTGTTTTATTACAGACGAATTAATGCAGTAGGGTGAGACAAATAAAAGTATGAGAGGTTTGCAGAAAGAAATGCAACACTGACACTTCTTTATAGTTTTTAATTAATAATTGATTGCGTTATTACAATTTCCTGATTGTATGGTGTATTGTGCATTGTAGCAACAAAAAAAATATTTTTTATTTATCTATTTATTTTTTTTATTATTGGAGTTGACACCTTTATAAAGAAGTCTTTGTAGCACATCACATGCCAGGGAGATATTTCAGATTTCATTATTGACTAGTATAAACCATTCATTAGTTATTCATTTATTGTATTTTCAACAATACTTTAACGGGTAATTGCGAAACTGTTTTTTCTCGCTCCAAAAAAGATTAAAGCATAATTAAAATGTCAAATTAGTCCTATTCTTTTAATTTATGTACGAAGGATAATTAATTTTTTATCATTTATAATCAAATTTCTATATTTAGTTTTAACTGCTAATAAATAAAATTTAGTTCTACAGGTTTCATTGATAATGAATAAACATTGTTCGTAATTCGTATGAAATGTTCTACGAATTGTGATTTGAATGAAAGTGATTAATGAATTACATACCGAATATTACTTTAAAGTGATTTGCAAATTACTCATCGGGATTCTCACATCATGATTTCAATTAAAGTTATTTCTGAATCATATAATGTGATACTTATTTAAATAATTTCAGAATCGTGCCTCACAATTTTCATTCTAGTACTATTTTACCAATCACGCATTGCGATTCTCAAAAAAGAAATTGAAGAATTACCACTCGCAATTATCATCAAAATGATTTAAGAATCACAAATTGCATTTTGCATCATAATGATCTCAATTCACATGAAAACTATTAGTTAATCACGCAACAAAATTCATATTGAAGTGATTTATATATCACATATTGTGATTTACGCCTTGCTAATGCGTTTTGTATCATTTACTATCCCTATTGTTCCGATTTAAGAAACATAAACCACAATTTCAATTTACAAATCACGCATTGTGATATATGATTTACATAATCTTTAAAACTTACTTCACCTTTCTTATAATTTTGATATGCATAGTATGTCTAGATTCATATAAATGCGATTTAAAAATTACGCTTAGTGGAAATTACGCATATTCACAAAATTTTAAAAATCACGCTTCACATTTTATGGATATATTTTAAAGAAAATAAAGTTTGGTAAGTCTTAATTAGTTTTCTGTAAAATTTTGTTCTGCAATAGGTTTTATTATGTTTAAATCACATTACTCATTTTCTGAAGTAATTTCATTTTCTGAATTTGTTATTAAAATTGGAGCAGTTATGTTAAATGGATATATTTTGATATTTTATCTAATTATATACATTTCCTGTAACTTGAAATTTGATCTAACATATTAAAAACATTTATTTATATTTTAATAACCGTGCAATTACACAAACTTTATTAATTATTTACTAAGCTTGTTTAATGTAAAATGCATTATTCATTCCTTCAATTTCATTAATTGTAATTTACTTCATTTAGTTTTTCAAGAAAAGTTTCACTGATGCTAGTTTTTAAATGTTGGCTAGTATCCTATGGCAATTGGAGTTTTTTTTTTTTTTATCAAATAGAATTTTTTAAAGTGATTTGAAACAGCAATGTAACTATCAACCATTTGTATTATTAGATGATAAATTTAAAAAAAAAAAAATTGTCGTCAAATGAGCATTGTGCTTTAAATATATACAATTTCTGCTTCAACGTAATTGTGAAATCTAGTTGACATTCAATTAACATATAATTGTAATACCAAATAAGTCCTTGAAAAATTTGATTTAGGTTCTTGAAAGTCATTGAAAAGTCCTTGAATTTTTAAAAAAAGAATTGAGTGGGAAACCTGTCAAAGAAAACTTTAATTTCTTTTTCTTTATGGATGAAATGTCTTTTGAATACAGCTTTATGAATAAAGCAAATATTTATGTGGATAGTATTATTAAGTATTTTGATACCGATTACAATTAAGACTCAAAGTTTTAAAAAAGTAAATAAATAAATGAATGAAACCTATGAAATGTTAAGAATTTGTGTACATAAAAGTTAGAAGAATAAAATAAAAAAAAAATTAAAGAAACAAATTCAATGATGCTTATTTAATTTTACGAAATGTTAAGTGGTATGCATAAATATGACTTAAAAACAATTTAATTATAACAATTCAAAACAATTAGAACAATTCTTAGAAACAATTCAAAAATAGTTTTTTCAAACTATTTTTATTTTTAAATTTCTTATCCTTATATCTTTAAAGATATAGTTTGAAGCTTATCTATTCTATGCTAACTTTTTTTTAAAAAAAGTATAATCATGTCTTATTATGTTTTTTTTTTTTTTTGGAGACCATAAGTGATGCTAAATGATTACTGTTCTGTCTTTTTTAACAATTTGAATTTTTTTTTCCAGGTTTATCCAGAATTAAATGAAAATTTGAAAAATATTTTGCCCAAAGGAACGTTTTTAACTTGTTCTAGTGATGATACTATTAGATTTTGGAATCTTGAACCTTCTATTGAAGATGATACTGGTTACCATAGGAACATCTATAGTACTGTAGGTTTTTTTTTTTTTTAACTTTTAAACATTTAACTTTTTTAACAACCGGAATATTAAATTATTTCATTTTATAAATCTTCAGTATGAACTATTTTTTTTAATATTTATTTTAATAAAATAGCTTCTAAAGAAGTTATCCTATTTAATTTCAATTTATATTACTTTTATGTATCTCATGTTACTAAAATATATTTTAAATGAACTTGTTGCCTTTATTTAAACTTTTTTGTTACATTATTTCAGGAATTGCTCAAAATTTTATACATTGATTCAGAGCTTTCTTACCTGTGTGATACAGAATTGAATTCTAGTAAGTGATTTCATTTTATCAAAATTTGCTTATAACTTATTTACTTATCCATTATGTGTTGCTTTTTGAAGAATGAACTTATTTATGTGTGACAATATTTTTTATTTGTGTATTTATTTTTGAATTTAATTATTAAATTTTGATTTCAGGATATATTGGTATGTAGCATGTTAGATTTTTTATTTGTAATTTGTGTTTGTAGTAGTTTTTACTATGACATGTAAATCCAGGTTTGCTAGGAAAGTTTGAAGGTTTTATCAAACTGGAAAATTCAGGAAAGGGCTGAAAATTATATTCTAAAACTAGACTGGTGTTATGTAATTTGACTTTAATATACCTCTCAGTCCAATACCTTTTCAAAAAATAATTATAGTTCTAATTCTGGAGGATTTTTTTTTTTGTGTTTTAATCTATATCATACCAATGATATAGCAACTAAAAGTATTTTTTTCCTCTTGATGCATTTATATTTATAAAATATGCATCAACTTAATCAATTGAATATTTATTGAGCTATTAAAAATGTTTTTCTATATTATTAAAAAAAGAGTATTATCCCAGACATTTATGCTAACTGGTAACAGATGTTTCCATTCTAGATTATATTCTTTTCACTCCTAACTCTTTCGTTTAAAAAGATTAAGAGATTTTAAAAAGATTAAGATTTAAAAAGATTAAGATTTTTATCATTTTGAGAAAAATGATAAAAATAATTTGAAATTTTTATTGATGCATTAATACTTTTTAGAACAATTCTGAATGCAATTTTTAAATATTTTTTGAAATAAAATAAAAAATTCTATCTAGACTAATTTTCTGTATAGCAAAATATTATTATTGTGCTTCCTTATTATTACTTCAGAAGCTGTAGAATTCATGATAAATAAAAATCATTAATGTGATTATTTATATCTAAACAATGGCATGATTTCAGTAATCAAATCTAACTAATTGTAGCTGTGCAATTTCTCTTCTTTTTTTTTAATTCACGAGTATGCCTTGTCATTACCGTCAAAAGCTACTAATTTTACACGACTGTAGCTATTAAAATCATATTTTCGCTGTGAAGAAAGTTGTACAAATGCATAAAATCCAAAATTAATTTCTACCTCTGTTCATATATTGTTCAGATTTACTATATTTCGAAAATATTTGCATAATGTCCCCTTTTTCTCATCTAGGTGGTAGTAATGACAAGGTTGATACCACATATGATGGCAAAAATGGAGTTCGGTGCCTCAGGATATGCCCAGATGGTAGAAATCTTGCATCCGGGGATCGATCGGGTAATATCAGGTAAATAACACCTATTTCAAATCATTTCTGAGTTGACCTTGCACAGTTTTCTAATACATTGGTTGATTTTATACTTTTGAATATAGCAAAATAAAAATAGATCACATTATTTTTCTAATATCACACTTTTACATGAAACCAGTCCTTAATATTTTCAGGTGAGTAGTTTTAAATTTTCACAGAATCTATACACAGAAACATCTTATTGTCTACAAGTCCTTTTCCTTCCTCCACGAGAATCGCTCACCTAGACATATGAAATCGCGACCTATCTTTATATGTCTAAAAACCCTTTAATTTTGAATTGATAAATTGCTTTTCGCACTTTGAAGTGCAGTTTTTTGCTATAAAGCAATCTTATTGTTCTTATGATTAAGTAAGTAAAATAAAAGAAAACCATTTTACAGTACGGAACCTTTTATCCGGTATCTAGAGAACTGGGAAAATTTTGCTCCCCCCCCCCCCCCCCCNCCCCCCCCCCCCCCCCCATTTTGAACTGGCACGATTGAGATGCAAAATGCAGAAATTCCAGTCATCCTTTAAGTAGAGAGAAAGGTGGGTAGGAATTTTTTTTTTCTTTGTCCTGTGTGTTCAGGTAAAACTTCAATATTTCTTTCTTAATCTTGAAAATCATTGGATAATACATTTCTTCTAGTAGTTAATCTTGTAAGTGTTAATTTTTGAGAAATATACTTACATTTTTTTTACCCTTATTTGACGTTATCCCGCATTGTTCATTTTTTAATTTTTTAACACTAGTCCGATAGGAAACGTAAAATCAGAGTTCCACTGTATTTCATTAAATTTCGTCAATTTTGGGATTTCCGTAACAGTTTTAAATAACTGGAATTGTCAGGGAATTTGGTTCTTAGAGAAAAGAAAATCTGGAAGTGATGCATTTTTTTGTCAAAACCTAAAAATATCCTGCAACAGAATAGGAAGAGAGAAAAAAACTTATATTATAACTTAGGGTACGTCTTCAATGATATTAGAATCAGCCCTTTATTTAACGAAGTCACTATATCCCGATAAAGAAGATTGTATGTGGATACTTTAAAAGCACAACACAAAACAGGTTTTAAGTTCAATAACACTAGATATAATTAAAAAAGAAATTAATTTCAATTTTATTTTGTAAATGAATATCTATTTTATATAGATATATCTTAGTTGTCAAATCTTGCAAACAGCATAAAAGTTGCACTTTCTGGATGGAAATCAAAAAAATTAACTATTTTAACGTTCGTGGTATTAAACAACTGGTGAAATTGTTTCAAATGCATTTTTCACCATAAAATGCATTAAAAGAATGAATAAATTAGAAATAGTTTAGGAAACGGGAAGAAGAAAAAATTGAAATATAAAATTCGACTCACTATTATATAAGTCAATCTACAAAATTTATATTCTATTTCTCAGAATATTCTCGGTTCCTGAAAATAGTTCGCAAAATGAGAAATTCTTAAAATAGAAGATTGTTCAATAGATATCTACTGAAAGTCGACTGGCTATCACTGTATCAATTAGTAATTAATTTGTACAAAATGCTTCTTGTTTATGCTTAACAATTCTGTTTTAAAGTTTTCTTAAGTATTGCCACATTTTTTAATGAATCTTTTTTTTTACTTTGACTTTTTAAAGTTATCTAATTCTTGTGCAAAATATTGTTTTTTTCTAGAATTTATTTACTCATTAACATGTTAAACCTTTGCCTATTGAGATTATTTTTTATAAAATATAATATTGGGGAAATTTTTTTTTTATCAAAAATTACATTTCATCATCTATTGCAAGAAGTTAAATTCTGATTAAATATGGTAGTGTTTAGCAAAAATGTGGTTTGGGCATCGACAACTGTTTTATGATTGATTTTTCTTTCTTTCAGAATTCATAATTTAGAATATGTTGAAGAATTATGCAAGATTGAAGCCCATGACTCTGAAGTGTTGTGCCTTGAATACTCTAAACCTGCTGTTGTTAATGGTAAATGCAGACTAATACTCATGCAAATATATTTAATAATAAAGTGCCACTGTGTAACCTAATTGTTTTTACAAATAGGTCAAGAGACACGCTATCTTGCGTCTGCTAGTCGAGATCGCCTCATTCATGTTTTTGATGTGAAGCAGGATTATGCTTTTCAACAAACACTGGATGATCATTCATCTTCCATTACTGCAGTGCGATTTGTGCAGAATGAGGACACACTCCAGATGATATCATGTGGTGCTGACAAATCTATTATTTTCAGAAAAGCAACTTATGTAAGCATTCATTATATATTTTTTTTATATTGGATAAGTTTTGAGATCAAACCTGAATATCTTTATAGAAGACAACAGTCTGAAACTCCTTATGATTTTTTTTAAAGAAAAAGAACAACTTTGGTTTTATTTAACTTGGAAAAAATATTTTAAAATTTTTATTTGCAATTTTTAAAGTTCAATATGTTATTAATATTTTTATCTCAACCATAGTTAGTTATTATAGACGCACGCCGTGCAGGATACATAGGTGGTGATTCTTCAATTTTGCGGATACTTTTTTTACATTTATTGTAATATTAAAAAAATGTATCCAAACACATAAGTTTGCCATGGGGGAGGGGAAGAGAATACAGACAATGTAATCATGATTTATGCAAGGTAGAAGAATGTCAGTACTTAGTTCTATGCATGCTGCTCCCAAAGAAAAAAGATATATCTGCCGCTTTAGCCCAAAGATTAGCGATCCCATTATTAGCGGTTGAGACTACAATCAGCTGATTTTATACAGCTTCTTAACTCAAAGCGACTGTTGCTTTACACTGTAAGTAGGTGATTGTGGGGACAATAGGAAATCGTCCCGCAGTGGACTGATCGTTAAGACACGGTTCCCAGCAGATCACCGAAGTCAAGCATCACTGGCTGCGGGTGGGTGACCACTTGGATCAGCCTGTGTAGGGACCAAGAGTGTGTGGTATTGTTCCTCGTTAAACTGTGCTACTGTAAAATGCTCAACTTCGCGCGCAGGTCATCGGGCTACCGAAGTGGGTGCCATCCCCTCCGCAGAGGATCAAAATTGTGATGGCATGTCTTCGGATCATCCTCCGGGATGTTTCCCAGACCGTCGCCAATAGCCCATTGTGCAGCTCTAGTGCGACGTAAATTAGCAACAACAACGACAATAGGAAATCTTTTATTGTAATTTCGTTTGGAGTGAAATTACTAATACTACTTTATATGAATTGTAGTTGTATATATATCTATTAATATTTCTCTTAATGTTAATGTGCATGTATATATATATTTTTTTGTCAAGAATAAATAAAAATATTAAATAGTTAACTGTCTTTGTGTAGTTAATAAAATTATTCTATTATCAAAAATATTATGAGCGTATGTGCAGATGCTTTATGTTTTTATCTTACTATGATCACAATGAAGATATCCTATTTATTAATTTTACTATATTTTAATGTTAGCTTTATAATGTTCGATTAAATTTATATTAGTATATAGTTTTATATTAGTTTATAGTTAATAGTTTTATATTAGTATTGTAAAAGAGACTTGTTTTTGCGAAGAAAAAATAAAGGTTGTTACTATCCAGATTTTTCAATATGTTTTGAAAATTTAGTGGCCGCATTGGTACCGAGATTTTTATTAGTTACTAAAAGATAAGTGTTTCTTTTTTTAACACTGTGGTGTATTTTTCTATTTCTATTGATTGAGTGATGTGCTGTTTTTTAGAATCCTCAGTTGTCATTGCTAAGAGAACATCACGTAGTTGGAAAAACGACACTGTATGATATGGAAGTGGATGTTCAGCAACGTCACATTCTTACCGCTTGCCAGGATAGGAATATCAGAGTTTACTCAGTGTTGAATGGAAAACATGTCCGATGCTTCCGTGGCTCTCAAGGAGAAGATGGAACATTAATAAAGGTATCTTTCTTCATCCCATTGATGGTGACTTTAAACAGTTTCAAATAATTTTATATTAGTATTTCACTTTTTTACCTACTTGTATGTAAATATTTATATGAATAGGTAAAAAAAATTTTGACTTCTCTTACTGAAAACAAGGGAAATTTGGAATTATTGAGAAATTTTAAAATATTCCTGGAAAGCCTAGAATTCTTAGAGCAATCGCTGTCAACTCTAAAAATTCTTGCAGTGTTAACAGAATTTACCTTTTTCTGGGTAATATTTCTTTATATTATCAATAGATGTCAGCACAATGAATTGTGTCTGTAACTTCTTCTGAATGATGCAAAGGCAGTGATTTATATACTTATTTCAGCTGTCAAGGTCAATTGATATAATTTGTTGGCTGTACCGTTATGTCAGGTGTGGAGTAGTCGGGTGGTGGGAGGAAGAAGTAAGAGTTTAATAATCATATCATATTTATTTACAAGAACTATATTTACAGACAATAACTTTTTACATCGTTCTAGCTATCAGGGTTACTTGGCGTGCACTCTCTCTCTCTGTTACAAAATCATCTCTGTATGCACATACTATTGCCATCTAGTCTCCATCCATTTTCTGTCCCACAGTGGACTGATCATTAAGACACGGTTCCCAGCAAATCACAGAAGTCAAGCATCACTGGCTGCTGTCAGTGTGCGGGTGGGTGACCACTTGGATCAGTCTGCGTAGGGACCAAGGGTGTGCGGTATTGGTCCTCGTTAAACTGTTCTACCGTAAAGTGTTCAACTTTGCATGCAGGTCATCAAGCTACCGAAGCAGGGGTGCCATCCCCTCTGCGGAGGATCAAAATTGTGATGACATGTCTTCGGATCAGGGATGTTTCCCAGACCGTCGCCAATAGCCCATTGTGCAGCTCTAGTGCGACGTAAATGAACTACAACCAGCCATTTTCTTCTAAATTTAAATAAAATTAGAGCTTAGTGTTTAAAAAATTTTATTTTAATTTTTTGAAAATGAAATTTAAGTTATGGTTTTAGTTTTGTGTAATGTATTATAAAGTTTTAAAAAAAATGAGAATAATAGTAATAGCGGTAAATAATAGCGGTAAACATATAATCTTCTTGACTCCCAAACTACACAGAAGTTGATGGAATTGTTAATTCAGCTTTTTTTAATTTAAAAAATTTGGTTTTATTTTTAATTTGCTTTCCAAAATGTATAATTTATTTATCTTTTATGGTTTAAGTATGTTAATGGTTCTTTACTACAGGTTGTGCTGGACTCTTCTGGGACGTACCTTGCAACCAGCTGTACAGACAAAAGCTTGTACCTGTATGATTACATTACAGGAGAATGCCTAGCAACAATGTTCGGACATTCAGAACTGGTGACTGGATTAAAGTTTTCAAATGATGGCAGACATTTGATTTCTGTTTCTGGAGATGGGTAGGTGAGATCAATTGTGGTTTCTTAATTCTTTTCTACTGGTAGCTGAAGATGGAGAATTTCATAAATTGAAACGCATCAATTTTTTGTAATTTCTTATTTATGCTAAAATGTAGATAAATTTCTAACTAGTTTGATAGTTTCATATATTCAGTGTAGGATTATGCAAGTGTTTCAGCTTCAGGAGTACACTGATTCCACTCAGAAAGAAGACCTAATTCTCACCCCTTAAATATTCTGGTTGCTAGATCTAGTTAATAATGGGCAGAAACTTCAGAAATTAAGACTAAATAGTTAAGAATTAAAAAATTTTATGCTCGTTTTCCAAGTTTTTGGTGTGTTAAGAATTTTTGAAGGCCTTTTTGATCATCTTGCTCCTGTACTGGTAGAAGCATTGCATTATGTTTATCTAACTCTTGTGTTTCTTCGGATAAATATTTTCTAAAATTCACACGCTTTGAAAATTTTAAATCTAAACTTCAAATAAACTTTGACTAAATACCTAACATGTTATGCCTGTAATTATGAGCTGGATTGATAATGTTAATGGGATGAGTGTAGTTTAGAAGCCTTTTATTTTCTGTAATGATTATTTAGTTCAAAATCTATCATAACTAAAACACAATTAAAAAAAGGGGAATGATATCAGATATAATCTTTCCTTTTTCCTTATACATTCAAACCTCCAGAAAACACTATCTATGCTTATGACCACTTTTGGGAGCCGCAGAATTTTTTACCATAGACTTTGTTTGTCAGAAAACATTCAGGAGAGACCATTGAAACATTTCCAAGCGACTGGGGAAACGTCTGCACCAAATGTGAGAAAGGTCAAATAAAGAAAACAAAAAAATATCAAAACAAAAAATTTAACCAAGCAAATAAGAAGAGTAAATTGAATTCAAAACATTTAATTGAGACTTTTATTTAGAGAACTATTTTTGATAATACAGCCTCATGTTAAAGTGCGAGTGCCCTAAAGACGATCAGGGGACTGTCCAGGGCAAATTTACTGCTCTTAAGCAGTACTTTCACAAATTCAATTTTATGAAAAACGGTAGTTTTGCAAAATACATTTAACATATTTTTGAAAATATTTTTTAATTTTACCATATTTTTGTGTTGATTTTTTAATATAATTTTTAAATTTCACAAATTATGTCTAAATTTTCACAAAATAGGTGCCTCTAAAAAAAACCTAGACAGACCCCTGATGATGCTATCAATAATTTACTTCTAGAGTTGAAAGTTAAATTAGAAAAAAAAAGTTATTTTAGAAAAAACCAGCATCTCAAAACAACCCTTTTCTCATCTTTTAAATCTAACCAATTTTTATGATATGAATTTAAATGCAAAATTAACAAAAAACATTGTTTATTATTTAAATTAGCATTATCGTCCATAATTGGTAAATTTGTTCTTACACATAATTATATCAATTCGGAACAGTTTCATAAACACTAAATCTTATTCATCTTTTCATAACGCCAAACAGAAGTGGCATTTCCGCACCAAGAAAAGGACACTGACTAAAATTAAAATTATTTGCGAGAAGTGTACCTTCGATAACTATTTTGAAGTCTACGGAGTAACCTCTAAGAACGACCAACCTCCATCAACGACCATTTTACTGTGGAACAGAGAATAGTCGCTCCCACGAGGTTTCATTGTGATACTTTTTTTTTCCTCCAGATGTTTTGATTCATTTGGCTGACTCATTTCATATTTCCCTTTCAATAAAAATGTTCCTTTTTCCTTTTTCATAACAATGAAAAAATTATTTTACGTTTATGCATTCATTTTATGTTTTTTAGGTGCATATTCTTGTGGAGATTGCCGATTGATGTAACTCAAAACATGCTGAATAAGCAAATTCTTATTGAAGGTTCTGGTCTTCCAAGTTTATGGCAAGATGGCAGGTAAACATTATTTATAGTATTCTCTCTAATAATGTAATTAAAATATTTCTCAAGTGTTCTTTCAAATAAGTTGTTTATTAATTATGAGAACTACAATTTCAATTTTGTTTTAACAGAAAGAATGCCATAGCTATCACAAAGCCTATTCAACTGTTGGATAATAATGGAGATAAGACTGATAATTCAGACCTAGTCAATAATGTGAATGCCAATGAAACAACCCCTCCAGGCTATAGATTTAGTATTGGTCAATTACCATTATGGGCCAAGAAACAAGTACTGTGCCATTTTTTTATCCTTTTAGTTTGCTGTTTTCTTAACTTCAATATTTCCTATAAAATTTATGTATTATATTTAGGTACTTGAAAAACTGCCTGACAATTCTAATCAGAATTTACCCCCACCCATACCCCCTAGAGGGCGTTGGGCTCAGAGAGTTGATGGCCAAGGCCTTGTGGTTCGATCTTTTTTGGAGGCTGACTCTGTTATACCTTTTCCTAATGTTCCAGGTGAGAAAAAAAAGGACTTTGTATGTTTCCTTTACAAAGCGAATTTTATTTCTGTAAATCTCTAAATTTGCTAGAAAGAACGCTTATTTTTCTAGTGACAAATGTTTCTTAAAACTTTTTTTTTTTAATTACATTATAACCAGAGGCCATTTTGAAAAGTACATTTCATCCTTAAATAGACCTTTCACACACTATTTTAACATGAAAATGGTCCTTTCATAAATTTTATCGATATAACGAACAAATCATAATCTTTTTCAGTTTAAAGATATTCCTTTCACGAAATTTTATTTTTGTGAGAAATTAGAGTCCTTTTTAATTTTAAAACTACAACTGTTTGGAAGATGTGCTTCTTGAATTGCTCCATGAATAATAAATTTATGTTCACGCTTTTATCACTCTGACATAAAAAAAAAATTATAAATAAATAAATAAAAAACTAACTGTCGATTAGTTTTAGATTCAATAAATTAATATTTTTTTTTTTTTTTTTACAAAATTTTGACCTTTTAAAAAATATCTGTACAGAATCACGAAAAAGGAAAATATTTTCACAGTTTCTTCTGATTTTATAATACAAATGAAAAATATAATATGAGAGGTAAAAATACTTATAAAATCATATCATTTGGAATGTAGTTATCTGAACATGTGATAATTGAGGTTTGGGGATTAAATATTTTAAATCTCTAAAGCTCTCCATTAATTTTTCTATTTTTTTTCCAACATAAAAGATCACTATTTTTAAATAAATATGAGTAATGCACAATAAGTTTTTAAAATCTACTAGAGGTTTTATCATGGTTTGTTTAATTCTAGAAATAGCCTATTTGAATTGTCCGTATAATTAAATTTGAATTCTCTCTTTTAGAAGAGCATCAGGCCAAAAATGGAAATGAAGATTTTAACCAGAATGAATCTACTAATGTGAGTAAAATAATAATTCCTTCTAAATCATGTCTAAATTCTTAATAGACAACTATAAGTTATTAATTCTTTTAACTCTAAAATTGTTTTTCACATAAAAATATATTTACCAATAATTATTTTATTATAGCTCCCAAACGATTCCTTCAATTCAATGGAACAGAGCAGAAGAGAAATTTTAAATGGAAGCATTGCTGGGGTGAGCACATTCCTTTTGTAAATTTTCTAAACATGTTATTAAGGACTTTTTTAATTCAATTTATTTACATAAACTTCAATTCCTTTAATTTATAGTGACACTAAGAATACTTAACAAACTGCTTTTCTTTTCTTATTTTTTTTTTTTTTTTTTTTAAAATAAAATCATTACTCCAATATTCAAATAGAAAATTTTTAAAATCAAGATCTCATTTTCGAAACAAAACTATAAAATGGGGAAAACAGGGCTGAATAGTCTGCTTTTCTTTGAATTTCTTCTAGAAAATGTAAAATTCAAAACAATATTTTTGTGTTTAATATTTAATTTTGCCTATGATTTTTTTCAAATCATATATGTAATGAACTTCGTAATAAAAAATTATGTCGATAAATATATATTTTAAAGGCATTAACATTGAGAATTTAGCATAGCTGGTCATGGTAGAGAACAGTGGCTGTAGGATTTCGAATATTAAAATCGGAATATGCTTAGGCAGGGTCCAAAGGCCCTAGAAATTTAACTTTATATTATGGATTTCACCTTGAAGAGGGTTTTCATATCTTTCTTAAAAATACTGAGGTCTATTAATATTTTAATAATGTGGGTGATCAGTTTCCCCTGCCACTAAAGACTACATCACCAAATTTTCTTAGATAATTAAATCAATATTATTACACTTTTTTTGAAATTTTAATTGATAGTGGGTTAAATACAAGATCGATATAAGAATTAGATAATATATATAATTATTTTAATATTACATGTATGTAGCACATTATAAACTGTTGAGAAAAAAACTATTATTTATTTGAAGCAGCTTTCTTCTGCATCCACATGCATTCCTGTTCTGATTGTATGTTGAATGTAAAGCCAAGAAGGCTGTAAATTCAAGTTAATCTGTTACTCTGATTTTTTTTCCATTAGTTCTATCCCAGTGTACTTTCCAACTGTATAACTCTCTGTTTGTGTAACGTACTAATAAATACGTCTTTCTCCGATCCACTCATCTCTGAATTCCATTTCGATAACATAAACATTCAGCAACAACAATTTTATTCTATACACATGTTTGACCTAATTGCATTTATCTTTTTTAAATCTTTAATTTATATTCTGCATTAATTGCCTTTTTTCTATGTTATAACTTTTGGTTATTGAGTACTTTTTTAAAAGTCACTTTTACTTTTATTTTGTCACTCCATTTTAAATTTATGGAAATGGTACATTTGTTAATACTACCAGGATGGGCAATTTGTGGTCATGGATTGGATTAAAGTTGGTCCACAAAACCTTTTGACTTACCACTTGAACACTAAGAAAGCATCCATAGCTCTGGAAAAAAAATATATCTTTCTTTCACAGCTTTGGATAAAAATACTACTGTATTGAAAAACTTATTTCTTTTTACTAGCCATTTTATTTGTTTATTGTCTCAACATTAGTCATATTGTTTTGGAGAAAAATTGTATTTTCAAAAGTCAATTTAACATCGCATTAATCGGATACAGTTACGAAATCCGTTTTCTGAACAGAAATTAAATTTTAGATTTTTCTTTTTTGCATATGTGAGCCATACATGTACTTCCAAATAGGATCTAAGTACACCCTAAGTTTTTTGCAATTACAGTTTTACATTACTTATTTTGTGATCCCAACATGCTATTTTAAAGTTTTTGTGGCTGGTTATTCAGGAAAGTTTCTTCATCCATGTGTGCCCCTGAATAGTAATTTTAATGCATTTTGAGTAAAGAGTCTTGTAATTTTTTTCCTAGGAAATGAATGGTGGTGTAAATAATGCAGTTCTGCGCCATCCCGATGGTAATCTCAGAAACAAAAGAGAACGAGCATTTCCACTGTCTAATTCAAATGTCTTACGTTCAGAAGACTTGGATGCAGAGGATGAACGGTCTGATTCTGAAATAAGCGAAATGATTTACTACCCTATCTCTGAAGATGGATCTGATGTCATTGATGTGTTAGTGCTTCTTTTTTATATGATTCAATTTGAATTGTTACTTTTTATTTTTGTCATGAAACATTATATGTAATAACTAGTTGCTATGTCATATAATACTTTAGTATACTTAAACTTATTCTTTAGACTTGAAATATCCAATTCCTTTCTTTACCAACAAGTTTAAAACTAAATTAACATATATTAGGCTTTTTTCTTGTCTAATATATATTTCACTGAAAGACGGTTAATTTTTTCTTTGATTTATAAAAATCTAAATATAAGTTAGTACAAAATAATTGTGTCTTAACAGCTTTTTGGATTTTCTTAAACATAACCTTTGCTTTTTGTTTTGAAATTGTGTAACCTATAACTTCCTGACTCCTTCGACTAACGAATGATTGTTGCAGAATTCTTTCACTTTTTCTAAACCATAATTGCAGTTTTCGTCATTCCTGTGTTCACTAGGCTGGTGAAAATTTGCTTTAACACAATCACGCCTGGGTGACCCACCGGTGGATCACGCTAGATTGTCTCATTTTTTTAGTTGATGTCTGATGGGACTTAACTTATATTATAATGTAATTTTTACATTTTTTCATCTTTTCTGCAAAATATTGTTTTTATTTACTTGTATTATCAAGTCTACTTGTTAAACAGTTGCATAAAATTCTGTTTCTTGCAGACTGTAGTTTTATGAATAATATCAAATATTTAATTTTGTATAATATTTTGTACTTATGTACAGTGAGTGTGTAATGTTTTTTATATATGTATTACTGATTTGGTATTATATTTCATTTAGTTCTTTTCATGTTTGTGCCAATAATGAAATCTCAAAGGAAAATCCAGGATATGCCCAAAAACCTAAACTTGAGCACCATCAAGGAGAAGCACTAGCAATAAACACACTGGGTTAGTAACATACATGATTGAAAAAAAATTCACCATATATAAATTATTTTCAGCATATAAAAGTTTTGCTTAATAATTTCCTGATTTGGTATTGAATTCCTTAATAGAAAAATGATTGGGAATAAAACCATGCATGTTGAAATCTTGGTAGGCAGGCAGAGCCCTTGATGATGAAATCATGATAAACATTAACATCACAATTTTTTTAATTTACTAGAGAATCGGTAGATGACCAAACAATGACCTTAAAGAATAAGGGGCAACAGACCTTAAATTAAAAACACATCAATTTAGGAATAATTAAGCTATGGCTCACACCTAAAAGATACAATGTTGTTGGAGGCCAGAGTAGCATTTTTAGTGGGTACTTAATTATTATTTCTAAAAATATGGTTAACACAACAGGTTCATTACTAAAGTGAATAAAACTAATTCCTGACATCTCGTAGATTTATGTAAAATTTAAATGTTGTATATCGTTTACAACTAAATCTTGTCGTTATCAAGTAAATGTAGGATTTAAATTTTCGGACCAATAATGTAACAAAAAAAACTAACATATTTTAAACATAAAATTTATTAGTTAAATAACTCTGAAGTAATTGTTATCCTAAATATGAAATTTTATTAATTAGACTACTTTTAAATATTATTCATATTTTAATATTAGCCATAAATTAGAAAAAAATAACTTGAACTTGAATGAAATCTTTAACCAAATTCAGACCCCATGAAATTTTGAACTAGTGTAAAATAACTTCAAATGTTTTGGGGGCGATTGCAGTTTTCTGATAAAATAAAAAATACCAGAAATTTGAAAGCATGTACTTGAAAAATAATATGGCAATTAACAAGTTTTTAAATACCAGTATTTGTATTTTGTTGCCGTTGATTCATTTTGCTCTATGCCGAAGGTGAATTCGTTTTGAACAATAAGTGTTTTTCCTTTATTATTATTTGAATTTTTTTTTTTCAAATCTTAATGCCATATATTTCGTAGATATTTCTGCAAAAGTGTGATTAATGCTTAGCTAGTCATTAGATCTATTTGGGTTTTTGACCATTACTTTTCTTTTTTCTCTTGTGGTTTGGACCAGGTACGATAATTTTAAAAATTGGTAGCACTGTATTAAATTGTTTTTAAATATATTGGTCCAATCTTGGGACAAATGGGTCAGCTGTATAAATTTTGTTTGTAAGTATATATTTCATACCTTTTCATATATTTATTGCCTCCTCCCCCTTCCAGAACACGAAGCAAACAGTGATGACGAAGAAGTTAGCACGCCCATTGATAGTGATCGATCATTCCTGAGCTCCTTGTGTATTAGTACTGAGAATCTGGAAAGGCTGGGGCAGAGGGAAAAGTTTATGAAAAGCAATTATGAGAGTTTAGAGAAAACAGATTCCATTGAATTGCACTCAGATGATGTTTTTGATAAAAATTTCTACAGGCAAAGTATATCTGCAAAGTTCTTGGCTGGATCTCATTTACAAACAAGGAGGTAATATATTTATTTTTTTTAATTCTTATGTTCTATTGAATAGAATCTTTTCATTTGATTTATACAGAGTTATCAATTATGCTAATAAATAAATCTTGTACATCACTGCGTAGTATAAAAATTTTCAATCTCTTGCTCTCCTAATAATCTAAGAGCAAAACCATTTTGGTCATTTAAAAAAATACCATTTCTATCCACAGTTTGTGAAAATCATAATTTTTATTTTTTGTATGAAAGATTTTTAAACCTGCCTTTCTAATTAAATTGAATAAGATCATTGTTGCACAGTGTTTAGTCATCAATCTTTAAAATATCAAATTTTAAATATAATTTAATATTTATTTTTTATTTAAGCACATAATTTTTAGATATTTTTTGTGTAAATATGTATTTTTTTTTCCTTCTAGAATCCTTACTAATGGAAATTCTAAATCCCCTGTTCCACCAGAGAGACAGGTTGGTCATATTACTCTTTGTATAATTTCTAATTATGTATCTTGTTTATGATGATTGATGAACATTTTTCCTGATTAGTTTAAAAATGCAAGCATGTTCAGTAGCAATTAATTATTGTATATGTATTTTAAAATGGTACTACAGTCATACTCCGCTACAGTGATCCTTCAAGGGAGTGAAATTTCTGGTCACTATAACCGGGAGTGCACTATATCCGTTACGCAGGCAATTTAACTAATGGTTCCCAAACTCCTCCCTTTTATTACACATTATTCAAATAAATGGCTGAAAATTATTATGTAGTAGCAAAAAATGTGTTATTTTTCATTACTCTTCATCTTGGGTACAAAAAAAAATAGTAATCTTCTGCTGATGAGCAATCCTCAACATCGGAAATGGAAACACTTCCCGACTCTCAGATAATTTTTCCAGAATTTCTGTTATTCCGCTTTTTAAACCTGTATAACCTGCCATTTGAGCACATAAAAGTAAGCACACAAAATCGCTTAGCAAATTGATCGACATTTGCCTAGATACTGGTAGATTGCGGCTTTTTTTTAATGTTGAACCACTTCAGTAATGCTTCTTCAACATCCTTGTGATCTGCTTTTCTCAACTTTTTTATGCCATCTAAATTTTTTTCATGAGCAGAAATTATTAATTGCCTATTTTTCCATGTGTTACAAACTGCTGATTTGGGTAGTTTATATTCTCTGTAAATATCAGCTTGATTGCATCCATTTTCAATTTATCTAATTATGCCCATTTTATCATCAATGGAGAACGTTTTATGCTTACTGCTCGCCATAGTTAAATTTGAGATACTTGTTTGCAGGTTTTTTTTTAACTGAACTGAGAGCAAAAAGGAGTTGAAATGAGGGCCTTATCAACACATATTAGTGTCCAACCCTTTTACCTATAATGAATAATTACTCATTCCCTCTGACAGAAAATGCATATTGATCCCACTGACACCTTACAGATGCATCATCTGCCTGGGTTGGAAACATCTGCTTGGTTTGTTCAGGGTGGGAAAGTGAGATAAAGGAAGCAAACAAGAAAAAATGCTTATCACTATATTCCCCTCAATAGATGGTTTTAAAAATCTATATATGTATTTATTTTGAAGAAATTTCAAAGTTATTACAAACAAAATGAAGAAAAAATGAAAAAAAATCAGTCGAAGACAGAAAAAAGTTCATTATATCCAACTTCCTCACTTTTTTGGTTTTGATTGTGGATAATCATTTTGATTTGAAAATGATTATCCACAAAAAATAGCATTATACGTGTATAGCAAGACACGGGACCGAACATTTCGTTCACTATATCCGGGAATTCACTATAAGCCGTGTTCACTACAGTGGGCTTTGACTGTAATATGTATATCATATGTTTGATGAAACATTCAGACATGTGATTTTTTCGCTAATTCGTGGAATGGCGCAAATCAATAATGACGACTAAGTGCAGCAAAAAAAAAGGATTTTTTTTTTTTTTTTCAAATATATGTATTCTTTTATGTATGCATAAAATGATAATCTTTTATTTATTTTTTCTTTCCACAAAAAGATTAAAAAATTGAAGGAAAAAAAAGAACTTCATTGAGAAGAAAAAAATTTGGTAATTTCATCCTCCAGTATGTGATAAAAACTAACATAAGCTTTTTATGTAAGTCTCCTCTTTTTGATTGCTTTAATAGCCGAATTTTTATGCAGAAAAAAGAAATGAAACTAGAATATAATGAAGAATTTCTAGAATATAAAGCACACTTTTAGCATTTCCAGAATAATTTATAATAAAAAGATTAACTTATGTTGATCTTTTTTCAGATGAGTACACCTACAAGAAAAAGAGAAGAACTATTGAAAGCATTAAGTGATGCTAAAAAGAAATTAGAAAGTGTGAGTTGTCTGAAATATACTATTGTTAAAAAAAAAGGTTTTGTTGTATTACAAACTTAAAAAATTACTGAAAATTGTAACCCATATGTACTGTTTGTTTTTATTTTAAAATATTAAACTATTAAATTAAAAAGATTCTTCTTAATTTTGTATGTAACATAAATGTTGTCTCAATTGGTTGTAGAAATTTTCTTGCTTATGGACGCTTTTTAAGTTTAAAGTTTTAGCACTAAATGTTGTGTGCTTATTTTGTAAGAATATAATATGATTTAGTTAAACTTTAAAAATGATTTCACTTTATTTAGGTCATTATAGTTGTCAATCATATCATACATTTTGTTAGTTACATATGTAAAGTTTAAATTTTGATCAAACACTATTTCTTTTTTTTTGTTCAGATTTTAATGAGATGTAGTAAATAATTTATGCATTTAATAATTTTAGGAAATTGTTATATGTTTCAAGTCTTATTTTTTATTATAATTTTTGTTAATTCAACATATTTCATTCTTAAAATTAATTCTGAGTTCTATTTTGACATTGTTTCTGTCGCTGTTTGAAAAATATGAAGACAGAATGTTGTTTCAGTTGAAAGTTCAGCACTATAAATAAATGTCCAAGACACATAATAAAAAGAATTTACCAATCAATTGACATTAGACAGGATTATGTGAAAATCATAAAACTCGGAAGTATGTGAAGCATAAAATAGTAATGCAACATATGGGGAAGGAAAAAACACACATTTCTCTCAACCTTTGCACTGATGATGACAGTTGAAGAATATTAAAAATTTGTTGATTTTTGTATGAAATTTTGACAATTTTTTATTAATCTTATGTCATATAAATTCTAAGTTTTAATTATATTTTTTAATGAACAAATTTTAGGTTGGATACAGACGAGGCTTAAGTAGTAGTAAAAGCATAGCTGATTTGCACAGTACTCCAGATAGAGAAATGTTTAAAGTACCCTCCAATGGCACACCTGGTATGTATTGAAAAAAATGTTTTTTATTTATTTATTTTTTTAGTATAAAACTACATATTCACATGTCTTATCAAAACTTCTAGGTGATATTCGTCGAGCTGCTTCTATGATGGATTTATCGCAATCTCTGAAAAGGGGCCTGTCTCTAACTCTGAGACAAAGTGAAAATAGTAAGAAGGATTTAACTTTGTAACCTTAACCCAAACATTTTTATGGGATTTTTTTTTTTATAATTTCTTTGGCAAATTAAAAGGAATTGCATTTTGTTGATTTTGTAAAATTTCATCAAAATCTTTTTTTTATTTCCATGTAAGGTATGCTTGTTTATTTTATTCAGGCTTAACAAAGACTTGTGAAAATTGCAAAATGTTAGGAAACCTGTTTTTATTAATGATATTCTTTCGAGAATCCATAAAATTTCAATCCATAAAAATCAGATGTGATATGATCTTTGAATTGCCTGCATCAATCCAATGTTACGTCTTTATGAATTATGCAATGTTTACATTAAATTATTCCTGTTGCAACCAGACTTCTGGACTTTGATAGTTTCTCTTAGTCTCTTAATTTTTATATCTTTAAAAAAGTATCTAAAATTTAGATAATTTGTAAGAAAGTTCCAAAAAAAATTTATTTTGTATTTATATTTTTTTACATTGCTTATTGTGTACATGCCAAATTATGCGAGTAATGTTATTGATTGTAAAAATTAACTTACCTATAACGAAAATGTTTTAAAAATTTATACGATAAGAAATTTTTAACAAAAATCTCTTCAATTGTTTTTTTTTACACTTAGTAAAAAATTATCTATGATTTTTTATAACCTTAAATTTTTTTTAGCTGCAGCTGCGTAAAAACAAATTAATATTTTGTTATTTCAAACTGTGAATTTTTAGGATTTATTAAATGTAAAGAAAGGTTTTAAATTCAATCTCATTTGTTTTAAAATATCCCTAAAATTTCGTCTATGTGGAATATTTTTTAGTATTGGGATTTTTTTCCTTATCTGTTGTTTGGCAAATATGAGTTTATTTATTCAATTTTATGTAATTATCTGCTCCATCCTGTATTTATTAATCTTTTTTTTTTTTAATTATTATTCAGGTCCGGAATCTAATGCACCATTATGGAGTCAAAGCAAAATGTATCCAGCCTCAGTATCTACTTCCCCACCTCAGTCCCCTAACCTAACCTCAAACAAAAGTTCTCAAGATGTTCAAGTAACTAAAACCACTCCCAGCCAGTCTGAAGTGTCTCGTAGCAGCAGCTCCAGCTCCTTGTACAGCAAGAAACAGAACTTATCGGGAACTCTCCGCAAAGCTTCATCCGTGTACTCTTTAGACCGAACTTTCCAACGTTCTGCGACCAGCTTGTCCTTTTCAAGAAATACACCTAGTCCCTCTGGACGTTCTAGTCTACAACCACTGCCAATACGGAACCAAACTCCTAACAAACTAATGAATCGTGATGTGTCAGACTCTTCATCGGATTCATCACCCACTGAGTCCACTCCAATGAAGAATGATAGATCTTCGGCATCTAGCCGGCCCTACGGCATGCGAAGCAGATACTTCAGTCTTACGGATAGTATACATCCGCCAGATTTGAAACCTTCCTCTGTAGAGTCTTCCTCTAGTTTAGGACTACAAAAATTGAGGATGAAGTCTCGTAGCGAATGGGACTTAAAGAACAATTCTTCGAATGATTCCTTCAGGTCTGGTAAAGACTCTTGGCAGAATAACCGATACCTGTCATATTCCCCACGTAAAAATTACATTAGGCCTCTCAAACCCAGCCTGGCAGGGATTTCTTCCACGTTTTCTAATTCTGATAACTCAGAGGGAAAGAGGAATTTAAGTCAATCAGAAGATGCCTCTTTATTTTCGTGTGATCCAGCTTCAGTGCCATGTAAGCTATGAATATTTTCTGAAACTTTTATTATTTAACATTGTACTTGCATATAATGAACACAATTAGTGATGTAATATAAATAAAATATAATGGGATGTTAAATTAAATTATAAAATATTACAAACAAATTTATCATAATTTATCACATTTCATGCCTGCCAAGTCTCCTGTTGTATTTTATGACTATCTCCTGTTTACCCGTATATTCTCAAATTTCTCCTATTTATTGAAATTTTTAAAATTTGGATATAAAATATCCACTAATGGCAAAAATATTTCTCTTATTCCTCAACGGATAGTACTATTGTCAGTACTACAGTATTTTGAGTGTTAATAAAGTATCCCTTGCCATCAGGCTAACCGTGGAGCGTTTTCGTGGTTTTTCTCCCCGTGTAACACAAATGCATGTTAGTTCTATCAAAGAGTCCTCCACAAAGGTAAATTTCTCCCAATACTTGATTGATCCATAAATTCTCATTTCTTCTATATTAGGTTCGAAATTACAAGACTACAAAATTGAACATCAGTTCCGGTAAACCCAAAATTGGGTCGCCTGTTCAACAACGGTTATGAAATAGTTTAAGTAATTATAAATAATGGTTTTAAAAAAAACTTCTTTAGATTAAGATTTATATATATACAGTGGAACCCGCTTAAAAAGTTCCCTTTTAAGAAGTTTTCCCGCGTAAGAAGTTATTTTTTAAAAAAACCAATTACCATAATGTTAAATTTACTTTTATAAGAAGTTTTTTTCCCGTTTAAGAAGTTTCCACTCCTAATTTCAATTTTTTAAAATTTTATTTAAAATGTCTTATTTAGTTTTAACTTGCCCTTACAAACACATGTATGGGTACTGACCACTGACCTTCATCACTCCTTTGTTACAAAGAAAGGTGACTTATCAGGAACAGGTGTGAGCAAAGGAATGTGAACCTTTAGATGAACTATGAAACTGATAAGAATGTAGGGAATAGCTTTGTCATTGTGTCCACCTTAAATGAATAGCCTGGTGACTCACGAACTTCACTGCTGTCCACACCCATTCAATAACTGAAGAGAAAGATACATCTAAACATTTAGCAGCATTTCGTTGAAAATTTTCTTAGTGTAGGCGCTTATGTTATCTTAAAAATCATCGTAAAAAGTTTGATTTTTGTGGAAAATGTCCTGTAAAGGCATTAAGCGTAAAGCTCTATCTATTGATGACAAAGTAAAAATTTTAAAAGCTGTTGACAGCTATCCTCAATTAACACGAGTTCAAATAGCAAAAAATTTAGATCTTCCTGTTACTACGTTAAATGGCATTATTGCTAAGAAAGACATCATCTTAAACTCTTCTTGTTCCGGTGCATCCCAGAAAGTAAAAAAAGTGAAGAAAGGAAAATACGAAAATATTGAAGAGAAACTGATGATATGGTTTAAACAAGCAAGATCCGCCAACATACCTGTCAACGGAACTCTTCTTAGAGGAAAAGCATTAGAGATTGCGGAGAAATTGAATGTTGATTTTACGCCTTCCAATGGATGGATTGATCGGATGAAAAAAAGAGCTGGTCTAGTTTATAAAACAATTAAAGGAGATTGTAACAGCGTTGATTTACAAGAAGCTGAAGAATGGAAAGCTAAATTACCTGAAATTATTTCAGGGTATCAACCAAAGAACATTTTTAACATGGATGAATGTGGACTGTTTTTCAATCTTTTACCAGATAAAACTTTTGCCTTTAAAGGTGAACCCTGTCATGGCGGAAAAAACAGTAAAGAACGTTTGACAATTTTAGTTGGGGCCAGTATGAATGGTATAGAAAAATTACCGATTTTAGTTATCGGTAAATCGAAAAAACCAAGATGCTTTCGAAATGTTAAGTCACTGCCTTGTGATTATGACAGTAATCAAAAATCCTGGATGACAATTAAAATTTTTGAAACGTATTTGAAAAAATTAGACAGTAAGATGCGAAAAGAAAAACGAAACATCATAATCTTCGTAGACAACTGCGCTGCTCATTCCAAGGAGAATAAGTACACTAACATCAAGTTGCAGTTCTTACCACCAAATTCTACTTCTGTTCTACAACCAATGGATCAGGGAGTTATTAAGGTATTTAAGCAGCATTATAAAATGCGACTTGTGAAACGGATGCTGGAAGGACTTGAAAATACTGGAGAGCTAAAAAAAGTCAATATGTTAGAAGCGATTGAGTTAATTGTATCAGCATGGGAATTAATAACACCATCTGCCATTGCTAACTGTTTTCGGAAAGCTGGATTCTCTGACGGAGATACAACTGAAGAATATCTCTTAGAAGCTGAATATGAAATATCAGATGAAGACGAAGAAACAAACGTAAATTTTGTTAATGATTGGAAGTCATTCAAAAATAAACTTAATTTCACAGCATCGTTTGAAGAATATGTATCCGTTGACAACGAAATTTTACCTTGTGATATGCTGACATTAGAGGATATTTGTGATGTTACAAATGATACAGAAGAATTGAGTGAAACTGAAGAAGATATTGCTAAACCACCTAGCTTTTCTGATGCCAGGAAAGGGCTGGATACTTTTAGGAAATTTATTTACACTGTTGAAAATGTACCCCCGAAATGTTTAAATTTTTACAGCAGTTGGACAATTTTCACTTAAAGGTAGGTGAGAAAAGACAAAAACAAACCACTTTACACGATTTTTTCTCACAGAAATCTAGTCAATTATTGTAACAACGTATATTACATTGTATGAAACAAAAAATAAAGTAGGTTACTTTGTTTTTATTTATTAGCAATTTTTTTTCTAAATGAATATTAAAATTCAATATTTATTTCATTAGGCTGAGAATTTAATATAAGTTACACAATTTCAAATTTTTTAGTTTTTTATTAATGTGTTTGTAAGTTTCACCGTTTAATAAGTTTTCCCGTTTAATAAGTCGTTTCTTTCCACTCCCTTGAAAAACTTCTTAAACGGGTTCTACTGTATATATATTACTTCCCTAAATGTAAGTGCTTATATTATTTCCAATTTTGACTTTCTCTTTTTGACTTACATGATTATGCATGATGTATCAGAACTTAACTCGTAGCCTAAAATATGTCGCTAGTAAAATCTCATTATTTCATTTCTTTAATGTCTGCAGATATATATAATTTTTCCTTTCTCCTGTCTTTTTGTCACTTTTCCCCCCTAGTTTCTTTTTATTCTTTTTTCTTAGTTTCTTCTTCCTCTGCTTGTTGAATTTTTCCCCCAATCATTTTTCTTTTGTCAATTTTAACTACTTAATGAAGGAAAGCACCAACTTTCAAATATTTGTATTTTTTTTTGTGTATGGTGTCTTAATCACATTTCTTAAAATGTCAATTAGTTTTAAAGAAGTCCTTTGAATTTGTATGTTATATGTTATGTTTAGTGTTTGTTAAATATTTTCTTTTTTCATTTCTTTTATAGTGACTCCTAATGTGTGTGAGAGCATTGCAGAAAATTTGGCAAGAGTTTCTTCCTTTGCTATGCATGTTTTACATAGAGTAAGTTTCTTAAAATGTACATTATTTTAAATAAAATAATAATGAGTACTTCAAAATTAATATCATTTGTCCATGTAGTGGTAGACTCATTACAGTACAATACTCAGTCTACCACTACAAAACTACAATTCCAATTCACTGGTACATAAAACATGTTAACTCGATTCTATGTTGGGATACCTTTTCATAGATAAAAACTGATACTGTCTAAAACTTCTCTCCCCACATTGGGGACCTTCGTGCGAGATGTGAACACGCCTACCTTGACAGAAACGCCCGCTGCGATTTGAACATAATGGATGGTCCATATTGCAGTTGACTTGCTACTTGTGACGTTGACATTATCCACCTCCTCGTGCTGTGCTACTCTGTCTCGACCACGCACAACGTCGACCCATATACACTACTATTAATGACAACCCGAGAGCAACCACAAACGTGAACTTAATACAATTCTCACGATCAGCACTCAAAAGTACAGCGATATTAATACACCTCTCCTGGCTTCTCAGAAAACAGCAATGAATCAACTAATGGTATCTCATTCATCGAATTCTATCACAGATAAAATTTTGGTGGAGGAGTAATGTAGTGAATCTACCACTACCAAAATACAATTCCAATTCACTAGTATATAAAACTTGTTAACTCAATTCTACGTTAGGGTACCTCTTCATAGATGAAGGTCAACATAACTCGACATTCATATGACTCTCCCCACAGTCCATTATTTTACATAGTTTCTATATAAACTATTTCAATACTTTTATGATATGACAACATAACGGTGCTTTTTTTTTTATCATTCCAGCTCTCATTAACGGATCTTCCACTTGAAGAGAAGTCGACCATGACTAATACTTTAGCTGATGGTGTTTGGCAAGCGCAACAAAACCTTCGACCAGCTTTTAACATGCTAAATCCTTGGCCGTTAGATGTTCCTTATGACTCTTCCCTGAGAAGGCTTCCTAGCATGAATTTCCCTTTTCCTAATGGGAATTCACACGATCAGAGGTATCCGCAACATGCCGCTTCCCAACCGGACTCCATGAATGCTTTTTTACAACAGTTCTCGGACAAGCTGCTGAGCATAGTTGAACAAAAAATGTCTAATAGTCAAAATAAGCCAAATAACTAAAAATGTTTCTTTCTATGTAATGTATAGAGTTAAGTGTGAAAGAAGTATGTTTTTAGTTATAAATGATGAATGCGAATAGAAGTTGTAGTGGTTTGTTTGCTATGACACTTTGTATAATATTTTTCTTTCATCTATTTTGAAGAAATTTTTATTATTTAAACCAAGTTTTAATATTTTCTTTCTTTATTATAAGGATGAACATTCCATTTTTATTAACCTTGATTTCCTGGCTTTCTGAGGGACAATAATCTTCCAGAATTTCCAATGTCTTTCTTGTAACTCAGAAAGTTTTTATGATGTTTAGACATTTTTAAGTGTTTTATTACATTGACAAGTGTCCTTATCCAAACAATTTTAAATCTTTTTTAGTTTTTAAGATGTTTAATCAAATAAAATAATTTGCTTATATTTTCCCCCCAGTCACACCTGCTATTAAGAATGTATAGTTGCATTGAATACAGGGTGCCCACTGAAATCTTTATCTGCGTTTTTAATATTCAAAACAGCCTCAGCTATAATTAAAAAAGTGTTGTTCAGTTATAGTAAAGTAACTATGCTCTACAAGATAAGACTGCTTGTAGCACCATCTGGTAGAAAACTGAAGAGTCAGTGTTTTTATCTTGAAAACTGTACAAGATGATTTTAAAAAGGTGAAACATAATTATTTTTTAATAAATAGACTCAGTGTGGAATAAATGTTAAAAAGCGCATTAATTTATTTTTGGTTTCCTACCTTTGCAATGAAATAATGATCTTTAAAAGAAAATTTTTTTATTGTGATTTTTAAACTAAAATTTTGTGCTTTAGAAATAATGGTATGTTGTGATAACTAGCTAGGTTTTTTTTTTTACTACTTTCTAAATTAATTTATCATGTCACTAACAGACAAATACATTATTTAAACCTTCTTCCTTACAATAATCCCTACAAGATGTCTGTTTGTACTAAGTCATGTTCTACCTCATGTAGTTTTTGAGATTGAAACACTTACTCATCAATTTTGTACAAGGTGCTCTTGTATCCAGTTTCATCTTATAACACATAGCCACTTTAGTATGCTTAAACACCTCTTTCATAACTAAAGCTGCTACTGTTCAAAAGTAAAGAGTGCGGTTGCAGACTGCATTAGGCATCCTGAATAATTTATATTTTATTTACAAATTAATTTATGCCCCTTTAGTTTAAACACTGTTATTGAGCTTATGTTATAGATATTATAATATAGAAAATTGCTCAATTCTAACTCAAATATTAACACATTTTGTATTCTATTACTGTATAAAATTACTATATTTTTGTTTATGTTATCACAGATTCAAAATTGCTCCTTTACATTTACCATAATTTCTCTTCTCATCATTGTATTCTGCACTTGCTTTCTACCGAAAATGTTTAACCTAAAAATATTATTCACTAATTGTGTACCAGACTTCGTAGTTGTCCTTTCATTCCTCATGAAAAATATTTTATCTTGATTTTTAGCGTTTTCCTTCATGTTTGTATGTGTTTATAATATCCCATTTTCTACAAATACAAATTTATATTTTAAATGATTGATTGAAAGTTTTAGATTTTTAATCCAACATCTTTTTTTGTTAATAGTGTTTGTAAAAGTTACAAATATTTTATTATTCGAACTTGGAGACTGTTCATAAATTAACAAGTATATACATAGTTCAGGCATATAGCCTTACTTGCACAGTTTGTTGTTTCAAACTTTTTGGTCAGTTCAGTCATTTTACAAAACAAAACTGAGTTAAGTTTACATAATTAAATTTTTATACAATTGATTCATGGTTTGTCCACTTAATCATTATTTTCTGCAAATACAATAACTAATATTATTATAGGTTGGAGTTTTGTAATTTCGTGGTTGTTTTGCTTTTTTACTTTCCTTCTAATATTAAAAAGCATTGATTCCAATAAATAATACAGTAATCATATTGAAGAGCTCTTGAATTGAGAGATCATCAACTAAACTGGGTACAAAAATGTTATACCCCATATTCACTGTGTTTTCAAGTCTAGTGAAACCTTATTTTAAAATTATTTTATTAAATAAGTTTTGAACTCTTATAAACTTTAAATAAATATTGGTGTAAGGAAATATTATCTAATCGATAGAAGTTATTTTTTTAATGCAGCAGTAGTTGAAAATTTTTCCATGCAATGATTTGAAACTGTTATGAGATATTCTGTACGGATAAAATTATACTAGAAACTGTTGAAACTTTCTTTTTTCCCAAACAAATCAATTCTGGATTTAAAAATAGTAATTTGTATTGTTTTTTTTACAGTAAAATTTGTTTGTTTTACAGTTAAGTAGAATATATTATTTAGTTTGCCTTTTTTAAAATGCATCTGTATACTGTTCCAAAAGTGTCCTGATTTTTTACTTTTGCCCACTACGAAGCCTGCATATATCTCTTTTCTAGTTTCACAATTTATTTATAAATTTAAGTCATACTTATTGTACTCTTGAAACTTGCTCACTAATAAAAGTATCAAATAATTTTGTATTATATTTCTGAAAATTATTTTAAATATATTCTAGTTTTAAATGTTCAAATAATTCACCTATTTTTTTTTATCACTTTTGCTATTAAAAATGTATAGGTTGTTTTAAATGTATTATTTTATATGAAAATAAATTTATAACCTTTTCTAATTTAGCTTATTAAACTCATATGCTAGTTTATTTAAATATTAAAATCTCATTTATATTTTATGTCTTAAAATCACTTTGAATTTATTTCTTGGATAATTCTTAAGTATTAAAGTGTTAATACTTGCTCACTTCCAGCTAAATTCTCGATTAAAATAATTTGTATTCTCTTTCTGTAAAGTATTTTTATCATGGTATTTCGCTTTTAAATTTTCCATTATTTTGTAATCCCAATTTGTTTTTGTTTTTTTTATCCTTCTTGTTTCTTAAATTATTTGAAATGTAATATTTTATTTTCAACTTTATATATAGTCTATGAATCATTGTTGAGCTTATGTCATAGTTATCAAAATATTGAAACTTGCTCACTTCTAAAAATAATGTTCAAATATTTAAAGTCACTGAACATATTATATTTTCTTCCATATAACTGCATAGTAATTACCAATAATATTTTATGTAATTTTAACTCAAACAATTTAGTCATAAAAAGTATTATATCGGTCACAAACGATAGAATTTTTTAGAGACAGTATGTGTTGATAAGAATTTTATGTTTTCAGTATTATGACAAAATTAGATTTATTTTTTTATTTATTTATTTTTCTGGTAACAAGCACAAGCATATCACATCTTTGTCATGAAGGACCTTCAATAAATTTGAATGTTTTGTTGCCAACATATGGTATTATTTACAATAGAAGCTCCTAATTTATAAATAAAATGCATTTATACTGTGTTTAAGGCTTATTACATAAGTTAATTGTTTAATTTTTTTTTCCTTAAACATACTTGATATTTTTGATCAATGTATATTTAACGCTATAAGTTATAAACTATGCTGTTTTCATTTAACATAGGCTTTTTTTTTTCTCAAAATAGATCTTAGTTAACTTTGGGAATAACTTGCATATATTAATCTTTTTTTTTTCCTTTCAAAACTGCTTCATATTTTTAAATTGTAAATTTACTTTTTATTTCTAGTGGGAAAAAAGGGGGGGGGGATTCCTTAACTCATTGGAAATTGTTTAATACTCATTGTACAAGGTGCGTCTAATAAGTTAGAGGACAGGAAGTATGAAACTAAACTCAAAGTAACACCAGTTAGTCAAAGCTTTCTTTTTATACTGTCAATAACGTAGCTAAAATGAGAAAGGATTCTGTTTACAGAAAACCAAATCTATATGAATGAACTGTCCTTACTATTTTCTTATTCATCTAATATGTACCTGCCGATTCCACATTAATATCTTTCATATCTTCTTGATATTGTCAAACTAAATGTGGTCAATCTTTCATATTTTAGTTACTTTCTTGAAAATGTGTAAACTAACATTTTTCTGCTATCATCATCTGTTCTGTACATTTGAACTGACATTGAAGGATTCATTTACCCAATTTCTGACAAAAATTTATGTTTATTTGTTGCTCCTTTACAAATGTTTTGGAAAAAGCAACATGCCTTTGCCTCTAGTAGACAAATAGGACATTATTCTAGTTTGGCAAGTTTTGACAATGGATCTCTATTTTTGAGCACTTGAAGCAATATCAGATTTTATTTCCAGCTTCAGTTTTTAGGGATTATTCAATATGCCATCACTTTTTTGCCCTTTTTTCTGCAAACCATCTCTCCTTGCATGCATTGCTACTGAGATGCATTCAATAAATTTTTAAGCGTGCCTTTATATATATATATATATATATATATATTCATTATAGTCCTAAATATTTCATTTATTGAATTTTCAGCATGAATTCTCTTCACACATTATTTATTTTTTTCAAAATTCATCTCTACTCAGAAAAACTAAAAATAAGAATTTTTGCATTTTATTTGCAATATAATTTGTGTTCTAATCTCTGATAACAGAAATATTTTGCCATTTCAAAAAATTACTGACAGTTATTACAAAATAAATTATTCATAATTTGTAGCTCTTTATTGTAATTGAAATTAAATGTTTTTTTTTCCAACATAGATCTAAAATATCAGTATACATACCTTTGTTTTTTGCAAAAAGTGACTATGTTTTGTAAGAAATATGTATTTTCAATTTCATAGGTCTAAAAGTATCCTTTTCATTTCAAAAAAAAAGTATCAAAACTTTACTTATAGGTGTAATATTCTGTTATTTTGACCAAAGAAAAACCTACTTCCATTGTGTCTTCTATGCATACGTTTTACAGATATTCAGAATGTTTATTTGACCAATATTTGTAAATAGCTATGTAAATTTGTTACATAAATCGAATGAATTTGTCTTCCACTGTGAGAGGAAACAGTGAATAAAATTTTTATAACATACATTGTGTTTTTCTTATTTGTTACACAAAACTTGGTACATAATTATTTCAAATCTATTCAACTTGTTGTAAATAAAAGCCTTGTTGTTTGTCTGTATAATTCATTCGTATCCAATACACAATTCGGAAAATTGGGCTAAAAAATAAAATATATAATTTGTTAGTTGACATTTAAAAATTAAATAACTGCAATCACTTTTTTTTTTGTGCAATCATAAAACTCTAACCTTGTTGGAATACTACCCGTTGTTTATACTGGGTGTCCCGAAAGTGACCAACAATTAGAAAAATAGAGACGATTTCTGCTGTTTAGAAAACGAGATTTTTAAACTGATTTCCAAGATAAGTTGAAAAGTTCATCAATGGATGGCATTGATAGAACTATTTAGCAATGTTCTTAAAGTAAGCTCAATCTGAAGACATCTTAGCAAATGATTAATTTAGAATGGTCTGGAAAACATTTTATAGTAAAAAATTTATAATTTTGTATAATTTATTTTTTTTAATCTTGCTTACATTTGTCACTTGATATCCTATCCCTAAATAACTAAACATTTATCGAATGCATTTCCATATTTTACGAAGCTAAAGTAATATCTATTCCTTTATCTAGACATCTTCAAGAATTGTAAACGTTAAATTTAATTACTAATCTGTATTTTGGTGGCCTGATGGTAAAGACCCGGTTCCTGGTAGAACACCGTAGTCAAGCATCAATAGCTGCTGGTGTAGGAACTGAGGATGCGCGGTATCAGTCCTCGTTAAACTGTTCTACCGTAAAGTGTTCGACTTCGCGTGCAGGTCGTCGGGCTACCAAAGCGAGGGTGCCATCCCCTCTGCAGAGGATCAAAATTGTGATGGCATGTCTTTCGATCATCCTCAGAGATGTTTCCCAGACCGTCCCCAATAGCCCATTGTGCAGCTCTAGTGTGACTTTAATAAGGTATCTACCTGTATTTTGGTAAAATTTTAGAGTAATTTATGTAAGCTAATTCATTGTAGAATAATAATAAATATTTTTTATATACTAAACTTTATAATCTGCACTTTTTTGTGTTGTAATAGAAAGAAATTGTATGCTATTTTTAAATTCTAAAACGTTTTTTTTTTCTTAATTGTTTTTTATAATAATAAACATAGTACACATTTTGAAATTTTATATATCACAGTACATGAACGAGGGTTATATCCACGCAAGAATCAGGCAGGATGAAAATTAGTAGTAGTATAGAAGCAGACTCGAATCCAACTAAAATCGGTAGTGCTGTGATTCTTACAGAGTGGATTATTCAGGAAAGAAGTTGTCCCGCAGTGGACTGATCGTTAAGACACGGTTCCCAGCAGATCACCGAAGTCAAGCATCACTGGCTGCGGGTAGGTGAGCACTTGGATTAGTTTGCATCAGAGCCGATGGTTGGCGGTATTGGTCCTCATTAAACTGTTCTACCGTAAAGTGTTCGACTTCGCGTGTAGGTCGTCGGGCTACCGAAGCGGGTGTGCCATCCCCTCTGCTGAGGAGCAAAATTGTGATGGCATGTCTTGGGATCATCCTCAGGGATGTTTCCCAGACCGTCCCCAATACCCCATTGTGCAGCTCTAGTGCGTTAAATGAACTACAACAACATCAGAAAAGAAGTTAAAATATCCCTAATTATGTCATTATCCTGACATGAAAAAGGGAATATTAATACTTTTGAATGGTTGTTCTCTTTGAGTAGGAGGGGAAAACTTTTATAATAATTTGCCTGTTTTAACGCTATTTAATTTTTTTATCTCTCTTTTCTATTTTTTCTCTGAACAGCCAAGCAGTAGAGAACAAAATGATTCGTCAGAAACAAGGAAACGGAACGTATTGCTACAGCAACAACAGGATGCAGAAAATATACAGCGTAATATTATGTCAAAGAACGGGTGACCGGTTAACAAGAAATACTAAACATGTGAACTGAAAATAATTTTAATAATGAGAGGAAAAGAGTTAATGATGGAAAAGGCTAGAAAAATTTCATATGTGTATAATTTTCGGTTAATGTGCAGCAACATATATCTAACCACGTTCTAACTAAACTAGTCACAAATAGTTACAGTTCCTGAAAGTATTCACTTCTGAATTGGAACTCTACAGTGGTTGATTCGAAAAACGACAAGGATAGTACATACCTGATTTATTGCATTTGGATAATTTTGTGTCTCCAAACATAAGGCCCCATATTTCTTGTAGATTCTTCCTTGTTTGCCAATCAATGAGTCATCTTCAGGTAAACAGTTACCGGTGTAAAACTGCACACCAGGCTGAGTACTGAATACTTCCATTACTCGTCCACTCGGAGGGTGACATACACTGTAGGGAAAACAAAATACGTACTGTAAGCATGAAACATTTAGAATTAGTATTATGATCAGATGCAGTGGATAGTTTCTCATTATATCTATCAATTTAATTTAAATACTTCATATATTCTAATGAGGATATATTTTATTTATAATTTTATAACCGTCGTTGGGTGAACCGCCGACCCAATTTTGGGTTTACGACTACTAATGTTCAACTGCGTAGCCTCGTGATTCTGAACCCAATCCAGAGGACAATGAAACTCCTGGATCAAGTATTGGGAGAAATTTGCCTTCGTGGAGGAATTTTTGATGGAACTAATCCGCATTTGCGTTTCATGGAGAGGAAGACCATTAGAGACTCCCACGGTTAGCCAGGCGGCAAGGGAACTCTAACCCATGATCCGTCTACCACTGAGAACATTTCACGTCTGTGGTCGATGCAAGCCGGATGCGGATTCGTATTGACCAGCTGGGATTTTAACCCGGTTCACCTCTTTGGAAGGCGAACGCTCTATCCCCTGAGCCATCACGGCTTCTAATGAAAATATAAAGTATACTTTCTGCTGGGTATGAATAAAGGAAAGCAACCTGAATAAAGAACACATAGTTTTTCTATAGAAAGAACTCTCCTCGCCACAAAATCTAAGGCTGTCTGCAGCTATGGAAGCAAGAAGCAGCGCATTTCAAAGCTTCTCTCACGTCGAACCAAACCTAAACCTGTTAAATATTGACTCAACACCACTGCTTGGAATAGTTGAACCTCGTAACCATAGTAACCGCCACTGTTTCAGTCGAAGGCAAGGGGCGTTCTTTCTATAGACAGACTATATAGATACCTTTTATTTGTGTTTCATTCATGCTGTTTTACTTCTATTCACTTCATATTTTATTTTATAACCAGCGTCGAATAGGAGATTCATTTGGAATTTGTGTTTAACAATGTTATACAACCTAGACGATGAGTTGGCGGCATTAAATAGAAGTTCATGCTTTGTGCCCAAGTTCACCGTAAACGTTTCGAATGGAAAAAGAGAATTTTCAGTGGCGATAGAAATTAATCACGATAATGTAGGTCTAAGAAATATGTAAATAATTTCTCCTTTTTAGTTCATGAAAAGCGTAGTTTTATTATTATTTTTTGACTAGATTATTGTCTTTTTTTTGTAGTTCAATATCTAATAAAGTTTTGTTGTTGGCTAAGTTTCAATTGAAGAAAATTTTTTCTTTAATAATGAAATTTGTTTGCATTGTACTGCCGTCCCTTAAAAAACGAAAAATTCAAAATTGACGTTTCTTTTTTTTTTACATTTGGCATTTTTGTATAATAATAGGATTAATTCGCACCTCGAAAAATTAATAACTAGTATCAATTTTGTTATAAAAAAGTTGAAAATGTCCTAATACTTTCCTAATATTTTCGGAATAAAATTTCATATCAACCACTTTCGGGTCTATATATATTTACGTAGGGAAAATAAAATATTCTGGTGCAAACAAAATTATAAAAAAATGTTTATTGTAATATTATTACCACTTTAGCTTTAAATTCCACGATCTTTCTGGCCCACAATGGGCTGTTGTGCGAATGTTTTATTTTATTATGTATTTAGCCGAACCACATTGAGCACGTGCACCGTAAGAAATTAGTGATTCAAAAAAGTGTGACACAAGTTCATTCTTTAAAATAGGGCTACATAATTTAGATTTGAGTGTCTCTAAAACTGAATGAGTACCAAAAACGGAAATTTATTTAAAACTCATTATAAAACAGAAGGAAGCTTAAAGAAACGCTAATAGGTTCATCTTTTTATGATGGATGGACAGTATTATTACTATTTATAATCTTTCTGTATTACCGTGCTACTTCCCTTTCTTGATTTGAGGATCCATTGACGCAAAAATTATGATCAAAGCCATTGATCTTTTGAAGTAAAGGACCTAGAAGTTTTGGTTGGCGCAGATCAAATTCGGTTGATTCAACGTCGGCTATTTCTCCTGAAATCAAAATAAAATAGGCTTAACACAGTTTGGAGAGGAAAAAGAAATGAATCCTTCTTAATAACTTTTGAAACATTGATCGGATTTTCATCCTGTACAGTGTTATCAGATCACGAAAATTTTTTTTACACGCGCAATTGTTTTCTGTGCTGTAACCACGAAGGAGCGTACATACCAAAAACGTGTATGATTTTTCGGGCTCTGTGATACAACTGTTCTAATGTTAACGTTTTAACTTAATTGCATAATCTTTAAATTCGAATGAAAATAATTATAGTACCTGTTGGAATAAGGCTGTCATCGACAGGCGTATAAGAATCTGCATTAATGCTGATAACATGATCTTCAACAGTACCGGATCCCTGCAATTAGAAAAGAACTTAATGTTTTGCGTATAGCAAATCACAAACATTTAAAGTTATCTGTTATAAAAATAAAAATGGTTCATCTGTGTGTCTCTTCTAACAGCTCCAGTCCCAGAGTGGACTGATCGTTAAGACACGGTTCCCAGCAGATCACCGAAGTCAAGCATCACTGGCTGCGGTCAGTGTGCGGGTGGGTGACCACTTGGATCAGTCTGCTTAGAGACCGAGGGTGTGCGGTATTGGTCCTCGTTAAACTGTAAAGGCCCTTCAGCCTAAAATTCGGTCAAAATACATAATTAGTCCGTTCAGGCATACACGCTCAAACGAATCTAATTTCTTTTTCAATCATTAAAAAAATAATATCAGTCTTCTTTGTAAGCTTACAGCTCTTATTAATCGAAACGAGTAACACTAGGAGTTTATTACACGTTATTCAACAATTATTTTTCTTTGTTTCATTATGCTAGGTAAGCATAGGTAAACGGTAAACGTGGATACCACGCGGGGAGTGACGTCTCCGAATTAGTATTTTAAAAGCTATATCTGAAGATCTGAGGGACCTCACTGGCCAAACGGTATCTCCAGCTAAACGCTCTGTTAAGCGTGGAAGGGGCGGATTCGAATCCCGACGTAACCATGGACGTATTCTGCGTACGTATTCAGTATTGACCTATCTGTATTGACCTATCTATTGACCTGTATTCTTTGTTGACCTAAGTAGAAATTTAATTTAATTTTTCTTTAATTTTTATATATTACTTATTTTTATTATAGATACACTTTTTAAGCTTATTACCAAAAACCAAAATAATATTTTTTTCAATAATGATTGTAACAATAAATAATTAAGTTAAACACTAAAGTGGACAGTTCATCGGATTTGTGATAAATGATGACTATCATATGGTGGTTGCGATCAATTTTCTTTTTTATTCAATTATTTACTATTCTAATATATGCTTATAGACACTTATCATTACAATTAAAAATGTTTCAAAAGATAAAATAATTAATTTTTTATTTTTTCGTTCAAAATTTTCGACCGTTTGAAAATGAAGTCGAGAATAAAAATTAAACATTTTATTAAACTTGGCATTTATCCATTATTCACTAGAATCGAGGGGAAGTACACAATGTTCGCCAAGATAGTTTATTATTAGAGCGAAACAAAGAATAAAATTCCACTTTAAACAATTCGTTTTCTTCTTGACTAAGTGCAGAAATGTTTAAAAACGTAATAACAGCCAATTCTCACTCCGCTTTTTTTTAACCAAGTATACACGTATACTTGATATTACAGTAGTTAGATAGTACAGTACAGTTCCATTATAGTAAACTGTCTCTAGACAAGTCCACTACAAGCAATAGTTCACTAAATCCAAAATTTGTGATTTTTTTTTTTTTTTAGAGTATTGCAATAGTGCAATATTATGGTAAGAAATTATTAGAAAACGATAATACAATAATAGTGTATAGTAATAGTTTATAATAATAATATATAATCTGATTCAATAAATAGTAAAAAACTTATGAAATATTAAGTCTCTATACAAAAAATTTCCTCGCTGTAAATTTCTTTCCATAGAGAAATTAATTGGAACGTTAAATAGAATTTATAATATTCTCCATACGTGTTGTAGAGAAAACAATCTTTTTTCTGCAAAATAAATCCTCATAATGAAACACTTGTGCTAACATTTTTTTTCCTTTTGAAAAAAAAAAAATAAATAAATAAATAAAAAAAAGGGGCTTTTACAATAAAAATGCCCTTCCAGCCCCCTTCAACAGTTTTAATTCAAATTTTGAAAGTTAACGCACAAAATAAACTCGATTAAAAAATTATAGTTTTTTTTTCTTGCATTGTTGTTGTTGTTAATTTACGTCGCGCTAGTACTGCACAATGGGCTATTGGCGACGGTCTGGGAAACATCCCGAGGATGAGCCGAAGACATGCCATCACAATTTTGATCCTCTGCAGAGGGGATGGCACCTCGGCTTCGGTAGCCGAACGACCTGCACGCGAAGTCGAGCACTTTACGGTAGAACAGTTTAACGAGGACCAATACCGCACACCCTCGGTCCCTACGCAGACTGATCCAAGTGGTCACCCACCCGCATACTGACCGCAGCCAGTGATGCTGTCTTAACGATCAGTCCACTGCGGGACTTTTTTTCTTCTTCTTGTATACTCTATCTGTTTTTGGCTGTGAATTAGGTAACAGTGTATGATTACGAATTTTCCTTTCACATGCATTCACATACTTGGCAAAAATTTTATATCATATTTAGAACTCTTGAGAAGTATTAACCTGCAAATTCAGAATAAATCTTATCACAGTTAAAATAATATATAGGTTTATTAATAAATATATATATATATAGAAAAAAAAACCTTTGGAACCTACATGGCCAGCGAGGTTAAAGTATGAATGATTGGTCAAGTTGATAGGTGTTGCCTGATTGGTAGTAGCCTCGTAATCAATGATCAATTCATTTTTTTCTGTTAATTCATAAGTTACTTTGCAATTCAAATCACCAGGATAATTTTCCTCCATGGATGGGCTTGTATAATTAAAAGAAACTCTATTACCGTCGATTTTCCAATCCCAGACGACCTATCGAAAATAATAATAATAATCTTTGATTCATATTTGAATATTACAGTTATCTATAAATAATTAAAAATAATGTAAGCATAAACAGGCTTAGTAAAGGTAAGTAATATACAATCACAAGTATTCTGTAGAAACGGAAATTTATCTTATTGGCCCTTTGTACGTCGTAATTCGGTGGATATGGGTAAAAATTGTAGAAAAAAAAAGCTAAGTTGTTTGATAACTTTGAACATAAGAAATTATTTTATTCAAAGTATGCGCCAAAATTGTTTATGTCCTTTTTCAGCAAGTTGTTCATACCGGTATGGCCGTCGCAACCGGAGGGAAGGGGGCGAATATTTTGAGGAAAAAATACTTCTTTATTTTAGATAAAAAGTAATAGATGCTTTTTTTGCATAAAATAATTATGATATAATAATATTTATTAAATAAAAAAAAGCAAAAACATCTAGATGAAAAAGAATAAAGAATTGCATTGAAAAATTACAACATTAGCGTCTAGAAAAAAGATATATATATAATTTTTACTGTAACTTTAACCATTCTCTCAAATCAGCATTAAACGAAATCAGATTCATCAAAATATAAAGGAGTAACAACAATAAGAAAAAAAAAGAAGAAGAAAATCAGAGCAGAAGAAAGTTTGGGTTTCTCAACATTAATTTTAATTTTTGCGGTATTTTCCCGTACTTTGAAGTGAATCAATATTGGCATACAATCATTAAGTTCCCTTATGTAAAGATAATTCCCCATACAAAATAATTTTTTATTATTATTTGCTCTGTTGCATTTTATTATTTTATTCGATGACAAGTGTAAAATTTAGAAATGTAGGGCATACAATGTTTTACACAATATTGAAGTAGTAATTACAAAATACAAAATTTTAATGAAATCAGTCGAATTGAAACTTTGAGAATTGAAATTTGAGAACTTTGAAATTGAAATTTTAATTATGAGACATCCCCCCTCCCCTCCAAAAAATACAACTCATTGGTCTACGCCTACAGAGGTTTCAACATACGTAGGGTCATTTAATTTAACATTTAGTTTCTAACTGTTTTATCCAGATACAAAAGTTGTATTTAATAATTTTAAAAATATGATTCAAGAGTAATAATTACGGGACAATATATATATCAAAATGTTTAAAATTTTTGTAACTATGTATTGAATGCTTGTGTTTGGAAATTATTCTGTATTAGCAGCATATTTTTTATGTCATCTTTTTGTCATACAGCAAGAAGAAGATATTCGTATAAACATTCTTCGACATTTATATGGTTCTTCATCACGCTCACCAACTACAGAATTGCTTCAATTTCAGTGCTGTACGGATTACAGTAAAAAAAAGCAAAAAATCAAGATATTGGAGTAGATTTATTTCTGATTTTTGCAGAAAAATTTAAAACTTATAAATTGGAAATTCTTGAGCCGCAATGGCTCAGGGGATAGAGCGTCCGCCTTCCAATGAGGCGAACCGGGTTCGAATCCCAGCGATGCCAGGTTGATTCGAATCCGCATCTAGCTTGCACCGACTCCAGTGCTGACGTGAAATATCCTCAGTGGTAGACGGATCATGGGTTTTGGTCCCTTTACCATCAGGTTCTCGTGGTCTTCCTCTCCATGTAACGCAAATGCGGGTTAGTACTTTCAAAAGGTCCTCCACGAAGGCAAATTTCTCCCAATACTTGATCCAGGAGTTCACTTGTCTTCTAAATTGGGTTTAAAATTACAAGGATACGGAGTTGAACATTTGTAGTCGTAAACCCAAAATTGGCTCGACTATTCAGCGACGCTTATGTAAAACAAGAACAAAAGAAATTGGAAATTCTCAATTGAAAATCTCGCCAATGACAAGGGTTAAATTTTACATTGATAGAGTTTTCTTTATAAAAGTAGACCATATAGCCATGTTAATTTGAAAGAAGAAATGAATGTTAGGAAAGTGAAAAAAAGGATTAAAAATAGAATGACGGAATAGAAATTTTTTTATTATTTATTAATAATTTTTCTCCTTTTCTTTTTTCCATATCTTTGGATTCTTAACACTTATTTTTTGGTTTCTACGTACTTGCAGCTTATGAAATTTAAATAAATTAAACTTGTTATTATTTTTCTTAATTTTCTTCCTTAATTTCTCTTTTATCTTTATTGTGTTATATACAGGAGGTGACCAAAATAATGGAAACACTCCTATATTTTTTTCATATTTGTCAAGAAATACGTAAAGAATCAATTTATAATTTCAGAAGCGTTTAGATCATGCGATTTTTCATACTTATTAATGAAGTTAAAACTTTTTAGAGGCGTAAGGGATCAAAAATGAGTTACAAAAGGAAAATGGTGTTTTTGAACACCCTATTCCAAAAAATGTAGCAATAAATTTTTAACTAATAACAATTACTTTAGTTATTGTATGCAATAATTGCACAAAATTTCTCAAGCCTAGCTTAAATGTTTAGGGAGATTTGGAAATTTTTATTGAAAAAAAATAATATTTTGTCTTACTGTTTTTTGCTATAACGTTAAAAATATTCAATAAAATTAAACAAAATTATTTAGATCAACTTAAAATTAGTTACAAAATTTTTGCCTGAAAATTTGAAAAAAATTCTTTGAAAACTGGGCATAATATAAGTAATTAAAGTAGCTCTTTTATATTGCGCATGCGCGGAAAAAATCTCTCTTGATTAAAACAAGCTTTAGGAAGGGAAGGAGGGTACAAAATTTATTTATTAATTATTAGTTCGAAAACGTTTATCGAAGAGTGGTCGCGAAAAGTTGTGCTCTTCATTATAAGTTAAGGAAAATCTTGCAAAGTAAATCGGTAAAATGTTTCATTTTAGGGGAAGAGGGAAATCTTAGTAATTGTAATTGGTTTATTAAATAGGTTGCGCGATTCCCACAAAAAGTAAAGGGTAAAAAGTCTTACTTTTAATTAATGCATATTTGAGCCAAGAATAGATTTAAGGTCAGGATGTCAATTTAAAAGTGGGAAAGGGTGTTTCGATTAGAATAATAAATTAAGAAAAGGATTTCCAGAAAAGGAATAACATAAAAAGATTAATTGAAGCTTTTTATGTTATATGTATGTCATGGCGAAAAACCGAAATCGGTGGTTGTTGACTTTCACCGGTGAATGTCGACAAACACCAAATACGTCGGTGAAGGATGGAATATTTCATTACATTCTTGTACATTCGGACCCTCACCGCTGTATGTCGACAATCACATATATGCTTTGGTGAATGTCCGAAATATTTATTACATTTGAATTTATTCGTGGATATAATTACATTTATTCGATATTTTAACCCTACACTGATCTTTTTTTAAGTTTAAGGGCCACTGCCCGGTATACCCTACACCAGGGATGGCGAACCAATGGCACGCGTGCCATTTATGGCACGCGACACAATATTTTGGGCACTCCACCGATCACAATTATTGTTGCACTAAGAATTGTTATTACACAAATGTTATTACGCTACGAAGCATACGTAACAATTAAATTAAAATTCACAAAAACAAACAAAATAATAAACAATTATTAATAAAAAAATTAAAAATTAATACTAAAAAAACAATTAATAACAGTAAAAAACAAGCTAACAATAAATAACTAGCAAAAAAAATCAACAGTCCTGCTTAAACTAACATCTTACAACCTAATATAAGTTATTGGTAATCTAATCTGCAACAACAGAAGTCACACTGATGTTACTTTAAGTTGAATTACGTATATAACTGAGACATTGCAAAATGT